CGGGTTTCATCAAAGGCGGAGACATCCTGTATTTATCTCTTATCGAAAGTAACAGTTGCATAGGTTATGAAGTGTCGCCAAATAGGGGGGGGTCAATTCAGTTTTTCGTAGCCTCACTCTTGACTGTGCGCAAGCAACCCAAAACAAGTTAATTTATGCCACCGAATGAAGTACCTTCAAGGAAAACAGAGACGTGGGTTCCCGCCTCTACTCATCCAGTCTGCAGAACGGAGTTTGCCCAAGGCATCTAAGCTCTTCAGTTTCTTAAGAATCATTTTGATAACTAATTTTGATAGAGATCTAGATTTAGTATTATCTGGAATGTGACTGTGCGAAGTGACTGTACGAACAAAGTATGCATTCAGAGGCCGTCATGACTCCTTCAAACGATGCGTGGCATGTCTCAGGGGAACTGACCAACGTCTATTAATATATCTGCAATAATTTCACAATTTTACTCGGCATTTATCCAAAAAAACAACAATAGCAACCATATGGCTCGAAATAAAATAACATGACAACAACGTGGCGTATAACATCAACATCAACAACATTTCAAACGCAAGGGTAACATACAAAACTTGCGAAAAAGAAGTCCCAACAAGAACAAAATTTTCAGCTAAACGTGAGCATGAGAATACTAGCTCCTAGGCTGTTTAAATTTCTGGAGATAGGGGAACAGAGGGTGCGCACATAATTGGTTGGGATTTTAGTCGACTTCGACTCTATTTGAACCCCCCCTTTTTGGGGTAAATAGCACTTGTGAAACAGGAAATTCACAAAAGTCAACCACCACTCCCACCTCTCTTAACAACTCCAACGCGCTCTAGAAAGGCCCAGAAAGTAAATAACGACGCACCCCCCTCCCTTTACAACGTCCATGAAGCGAGAAAAATCAACTATCAAAATAAATTTTTCTCAGCCCAAATACGACCCCCTCCTGGCGACCAAATACGACCCCCCTACTGGGGGATTCCAACAACGAGTGTCTGCGTGAGGAGATTATTGTTCGGCGAACAGGGCATACGCACCCACACGCAGCGATCGAAAATGACTCAAGAAGAAAGGTCGCTACAATACATCCGATGCAACTAACTCGTAAACATCTATGTAACTGCTATCACCGCACACTGGTTTAAACTGCAAGAGGGTACGTAGGCTCAGAAAATGGTACAGGGGATAAGAACGAGAAACGTATTCTTAGGCGTTCCGCCAACTGAGTAAGAATGACACCCAGTTCACTTTGCCCCCTTCTACAAGTTACGCGGTAACCCAAATGAGGAAGGGGCTAATCCTATGAAACAAAAAGCTGAAACTACTCGGACCCCTGGGTCATTCCTACGCTTTATGTCGGCCTACTCAACAGTTGAATATGTGCTAACCACAAGAACTGCCTTGGACAGATGAGGTCTACCGCTTAAACTGTAACAAGCGTGGAACAAACATTCGCAGAAGGCTTATTAGAGTGACCGTAATCTCAGCTTGACTGGGTGGGTCATGGCAAGGTATGCCAGAGAAGCAAGCAGAGGCGCGTGAAGCTGAGATGCGGAGCAGGGACAGCTGCGATTGGACACCATTCGGTGAACGCCCTGACTACGGTCGTGCTCGGCGATGGAGAGAAACGCGCTTTGGCGCATTCAGCCGATGTAGGACGACAGGGCCACAGCACCTAACTACAAACAAGACGAAGTTAAGTGACAACGGTCCGGTACCATGAAGCGATGACACACAAGAAGGGCTCCTACTAGTTTTCACTACTTTGACAAGAGCAACTGACAGGGTGGATCATCTGATTGCAAAAGAGGATTAGTTTGAAGTAGGGGAATTCAGATGTCAGGCCTGAAAACCAATACCAGATGTCAGGATGAAGTCATACAACTATCGGTGCAGTTTGGCATGAACGGGGCATTCTAAACTTCTGCTAGTTCGTTTTTCTAGTTCATGCTTGATGACAGGACCCCTTTGGTGAGACCTGTAAACTCCTGCAAAGTTGCGAACCAGTGCGCGTGATCTTCTTTCGGTACAGGAATCTACAAGTTTTGACAAAGAGGCCTGTATAAGCTTAGCTGAGTACCATTCGGTACCCCCACCAAGCCGAACTGCGCAAAGCTATCTCCAACAAACATATAGAGCCATGGAAAGCCATCGAACAGCTCAGATTTGATACAGCCCTTGAAAACTGAAGCTACTTTCACTCCTGATACCCGTATTTCTGCTCAAATGCCGGCTTTCTTTTTGCTTCTTTACGAGCTTCTTTCTTCGCCTTCCTCTTCATGTAATTATCAAGCTTGTTATCCTTTTTCAACTGATTGAACTTCTTTTCCATCTGCATTAGTCGAACCTTTGCTGAAATGAGCACTGACTGAGTAAGACGGAGCAAATAGCGATTACTGGGACACAAAATCACAAACACATCTGTTGAGAAAACTCGTCTTTGAGGATATTCAGTGCCCCTTAGCGCTAGAGGATAAGAAACCTTAGGTGAAATTCGGGGCCAATTTGGCATCACCAGTTTTCACCACAGTCGCTATAAACCCGCACTCAAGGGTAAACAAGGTTCCTTATCACGAAAAAACCCTATAGACCAAGTTTCCATCAGAAATTGAGCTTTTGAGAATTTAATAGTTCGATTATTCCGATTTTTGCTATATAATAGGTGCGTTGTGCCCCATAGAGTCATTAGGAACCAAAAATCAGAAAGAAACAACATATAGCCCACCTTTTGTCTTGAAAACGGGTCGTTCTCCACGCATCATTCGTTCGATATTTTCCTGTCGTAACTCTTTGTACGTTTCTTCTTTCAGTTTTCGTTCTGCCTTTGTTCGTTCACGGTTATCCATTCGTCGAATAGCCTAGCAATACAATACATCATTTTCAGAGATACAAATAGGTAAAATATATGAATGAATTATTTTAATTGAAAAAAGTCCACAATCTCTACCTCACGAATCTTCTGCGCCATATCAGTGTCTCCTTGCTCATCACATTCCGCAGCTTGTTTGGACAGCTCCTGAAACACTCAGGAATCACAATGACTCCTAAGCTGGAACCCTTCGAACTTCTTAAGAGTTCTTGATAGCCAACGTGTTTCCGCAAAAGATCCCCTCTCCCCTGGTTTTGAACGGAAATTTTAGACTTGAACCTTGGCTATCAACATGCTATGCTTTGACACATATATCAATGCGGCTGGAATTGGTGGCACCACCTGAAAACCCGCAGGGACCGAGACATGAAGATAAATGCCGATTCGTGAGCTTGAATACTATTGCTAACACAAAGGTCACCAAGAAATTGTGACAATCACATTTTGAGTCCCTTTTCCTGACGTTATCAGCAACTATCACCGTTATGTCAGAGCCTTAGTTGGTGTAGTTGAAACTGGCCCACTTACTACGCGCTATGTCCTGAGGCCGTTGGAGAGGCTTCCGTTCACGCTAAGCTAGCTTTCCACCCTCGAGAGACCGGAAATCAGTACCAAATTCGTCTAGGAGGATAAAAACTTTTAACGCACATCTGCCACCCCCCCCCCCACCACTGCAAGTCATTGTATGGGCCATGTCGCATCCACTCCGATCTGAATGGGAGAAGGACGGGTACCGCATTACAATGAGCTGCAGAAGTATTCTTTTGTCCTTTGAATTGAGCGAATTCCAGGTATATATTAGGTTGTTCGGAAAGGAATGCGCGTTGACTTTGTCTATTTATTTCTCTTCTACTATAGGAGATTTTTCAAAACAGTTTTGTCCATTAGAGAGAGGTTTTTATTGCGCATCTTTTGATATATTTTTTCTATGTCTACCTTGTTTTTTTAGAGAAAAAAGTTTAGAAAATGCTCGACCAAAAATTTCGAATGCGAGCTTGTATGTGGTAAGACTTCAAGCAAGTCCTAACGACGCACTTGGGTGGACCTAATGACCCACTCGGCTCACAGGGGCAGCGGGCGGACCTAGCGACACACTCGGCGAGAAAACTGGCAAAAAGAGGCTCTTTTGACCTACATTTCCTCTCCGGCGGACCTAACGACACACCCGAGGGGAAAAGTAGTGAAAGAGGCTCTTTTGGCGAAGTTTTTGCGTACAGTTGGCAACAAGTCATTGCTAGTAATGGAGATTATCTTTTAGATTGACCTTGTTTAATTTCGTTTTTATAATAAAAATTTTTTTTACACTCAAACGCGCATTCCTTTCCGAACAACCTAATAGTTCCGTTTCGGAGTTGTAATGAGCTGAAAATGACTTGCTGAATACTACCATCTGAAACGTCCTACAGTTGCCTTCATAGTGCACGCCGGAGTAGCACGTTCCAGGGACAAAGGATACCGACACAATAAACGGTTTCGGCGACGAGGATGCATTGGGCTGGCAATTCGGCGGGCTACTTAGGTTAGGATTCCGCGTAAGTTGTGGAGGAATTTCTGCGACCAACTAAGGTTAAAGAACGGACAAAAAAGAGTTCCCGGCAACACCCACAAAAGTTTTCATGGATCTGGACATTGCATTGTTGCGCTTTTTTTCCTCACGGAGCAGGTATTAGTGAAGAATGGCGTGAAAGCAGAATGTCAGAAGGTAGGACCAGAAATTGCGGATCCAGCTGTAGTAGTTAGAACTGTTATACTCGAGAATAGAGTTCTGGTAACCGATCAAATTGCTAACCTACTCGAAGCCTGATATTTGCTTCGTTTCTCTGACTTTTGATTCAACATTCAAAAAAAATCAACTCTATGTCTAACCCATCGGCTTCCTCCAAGTCCATGACCACGAGAAACACTTAATATTACAATGGATAGTCATCTTGATGCCACTCACCTCCCTCTCTTGTCTCCTCAAATCATTCAGGAAACTGTAATTGTCTTCAAAGCATCTTTCCTTGAACTCGCCCGCTCGATTATCGAACCGTGGGTCCCGTTTTCTAAAATTCCAAAAACAAACAGATAAATGTCGTTACGCTAAACATAAGGCAATGGGTATTTCAACAGTATCTAGGGTAGTTCATACAAGAGCACAATAATGGCTCGAATAGAATGCAGAGTAGTAAATAAGACAATCGTGCAAACCTCCCTCTCTCCCTTCAAGAACAATAAAATGATTTTCTGGCAGTTTCATTGTATCTCTGAGTTTCAAGAAGTCATTCTCCGAGCTTCTCTGACCCTCTCCTAATATTGATGTAAGACTACCATTCAAAGTCAGACATTTAAAAATGGAAATGACAAGATAAACAAAGATCAAAGTCTGGGAGTCACATCCTTGTGAATTTTACAAAGCCTCGATGATTTAAGGATTGGGAAGATCGAAGCGTTCGAGAATTCTTTATAAGGCGAAGATATTGCAGCGTCAAGTCGCACTGACTACCACGCGCATTGCTCGACTGCCAAGCTGCTGGCAAATTCCTGCCCGGACCCCATTTGTAGAGACGAAGGCATTGAACGGTACAGTTTGGTTCGCTGAGCATGAAGGGCGAGTGGTGGAATGGGTTTGGTCGGCATCGAACGGTTCTTCCAGCAGTGCTTGAAACGTGCAAGTGACACGACTGCATCACATCATTCGTATCAGTCGTTTTCCACCGACTGTTTTCGCTCACCCGCTTCAACCAGTGGTCCTCAGAACGGCCTTGGCCACCGCGCCGAACCCACACCGCTCGATCCGTCCCTCGTCCACAGCGAACGAAATGTACACCGACTGATTACCGTGAGCCATTTACAGCTCGAACTCGACTGCAGCCACGACTCTGAATGGTAGGTAGAATGTGTGATGCCCCCCCCCCCCCCCTGACGTATGCAAGTTCAAGGTCTTTACACTTTCAACATCGTACATTTGTAAAAGCCTTCAGCCTTGCGGTTTACTGCCGATATCGGCTAACCGGCTCATCACGTTGAACGTGTGAGTGCTCGAAGGCAATGGCACAAATAGCCATTGAGCTGAGTTGGCAAGAGTGGCCCCGGTAGCGTAATAGGGAACGCAACCGCCCGGTAAGCGGAAGATGTGGGTTCGAATCCCGCCCGTGGTCTGACTTTTGCCCATAACTCAGCATTCTTGTGGTAACTTTCAACATCGTTTCAGAACAGGGAAAATATAAAAGAAACCCACTTCTTTTTGCTCATGTCCTGATACACCGGCCTGAAGACTGAAACAGGTTTCTTCGACGAGATCTCCTTTGGTCGATGTTGCCCACGACGCTGGAATCAGCAAAATATTCTTACGACCACAGTGAAATCTAGGTTTATCAACTTTTTAACTCAACAAACCTCCTGTTTCTTTTCTTCTACTGCTTTCTTCCTCAGCTCCTCTTTCTTCTCGTTATCAACATTCGTGCCGAAATAGGCTTTGTTGAATAATTTCAAACCAAGCTTCTCTTTCATTTCTCGCACTTTTCCAAGTGGTAAATTTGCCATTTCTAAACAATTTTAGTTGAAAATGCTGAAAAGGAGATTGGAAATAAAAGGTAGTCATTAAGGGATTCTAGACGCAGTTCGGCAACGGTGGCGATGACAGGACTAACGTACGTAAACTGTGAAGTTACCTAAGCTACTGGATCTTTATATTTTGCACCAAGGGCACAAGGTACCGCTGACAGCATTTACAACATTTCATTACTGACCTCGTTTCTACGCCATTCTTTATGGGACAGAATTCAACTTGGAATTTCCTGGCAGGAGGTAGAAAACGATCGTTAGAGGATTGAGGACCTCCAAGGAATAGGAACTCCGGGGCAGATCAACCAAACTTTTGCGGACAATGGTTTTCGCATTTCGTGAAAAGTGGACCACCTAACCAGGAGTCACTCTCTTCGCACTGTCCCCCCCCACCTCTTCTTCAGTTTATCCTGCTTATTTCCACACGGGGTACACCGTGACGTGGTGGGAAATCTCTGCAAAGTGCCCCTCACCCAAACTTTCTGGTACAACACCCTTTCCCATCCTACCATATCCTCACATTTTCTTAAATCTTGGCGTCGAGCGGAGGAGGGCGAGGAGAGGAGCGTAGACACCTCCGACAAGCTACAAGAAATAGTCTTGCTGCGCCGATCAACAAAAACGAGGGAGGAAAAGCATAGAATGCTGCGTACGTGAAACGCATACGGGAAAATCAACGGTCACAAAAATTCTCGCGGCGGAACACGATGCTCTGTCTTCACAGACCAGAAAACGACCTTCCGTTGTGCAATACCCCCATCGGGCCACAGTATCTGATACGGCCCACTATCCGCTGTGCTTTACACTTTCCCTGTTTTCAGATACTATAGCCTTGCAAGAAACGAATTCGTTGTCGCTAGACATATGCTCCATATCCGACGGAAATATATTTTATTGGATTTTGGATTTCCTGCAAAGTTTAAAAGAAAAGAATTACTCATTATAGCTACTGGATGTCAAGTGAGCCTTTTGCTGCTGGGCATGAGTTCCACCAGGGCCCGATAAACAGTTCGACGCATCTTTAGCCAATCATGGATTACTTCAGCGCGACGCTATATGTACCACTAGCAAGCAACGGGACCGTACGAAGTTACCGTACAACATAAACCTGGTATTGAGTTAGCTTCACAGTTTTCAAAGAATAAAAAAAATTCACGCCACATTTAGGACCTCATCTGAACCAAGAAAACGGAAAAAGAAACCAGAAGAAAATAATATAAGAAACCACTACTTAGTAACCTAAAGCAAGCGCTGACAACAGCAGTTTTAATCTCACCGGTACCGTTACCAACAAAAAAGAAATCAAAAGAGAAAGACGAGCTAACCAGCACGAAA